AGAAAGAAAGAAAGAAAGAAAGAAAGAAAGAAAGAAAGAAAGAAAGAAAGAAAGAAAGAAAGAAAGAAAGAAAGAAAAGGTCAAAGCTTTATTTTTAAAATCAGCACCTTGTTTCCAACGTCTTTTGCATATCGTGGAAATCAATTAAACACATGCCTTTCATGTCAGAACCTGGCCAGTGTTAATTGTTAATTGTTTTCCTTGAACACAGAGTCACGTCGGGGAAGGCTGGCCGCTGATTCGATCCCAGGAGGAAGAAGAAGAAAGCCGGATCCCTTTGGGGAAATTGGCACAGGAGAGGGAAACTCCCTTTCTCTTTCAGTTGTTTTGTTAAACCCCTAAGTAGCTGACTTCATAGCATATTCGGAGCTTGCTTCGTGCAGATAAAGGGAGAAAGTTATTTTACAACACCCTCACCCCACCCTATCCCACCCCTTACACTGAGGAGCACAGACCAATACATAGTCAGAAAGAACAACCGTACATTTGGCCTTGAACGACACCACTGGGGAGATAAAATCTATAAAGCTACATCGCTATAAAGCTTTAAATCCAGAATTGCTAGTTGTTCTGTTAATCACATGGTTGTTAGGTGAATCTGGCTTCCCCATGGACTTTGCTTGTCAGAAGGTCGCAAAAGGGGATCGCATCGTAGAGCTTATCCTAGAGTCCCAAAGTCTGATGGGACCTCAGAGAACATTTAGTCTGACCCGCTTCTTAAAGTAAAGCAAGATGGCGCCACAAAATATACCAGCGCAAGGATGCTTTGGGGTGAATCCATATTGCATTTCCACTACAGAATTAAGAACAGGGTCACCTGGTGAGCATTTTGGTCTCAGAATTCACTCTACAGGTAGTCCTCGACTTATGACCACAATCATGACTGGAATTTCCATTGCTAAGCACTTAATTTAACAAACCATGTAACCAACTTAAAAGTGAGTTGCATCCCATTGTACCACTCTTTCTGCCACGCTTGTAAAGCAAATCCCTGCAGTTGTTAAGAGAATCAAGCGGCTGTTAAGCGAATCTGGTTTTCCCCATTGACTTTGCTTGTCAGAGGCAGGCAGGGAAGGCCACAAACGGCGACTGTGAGTCACTTCTTCCAGTGTCGTTGTAACTTTGAATAGTCACCAGACGAATGGTTGTAAGTCGAGGACTTCCTGAAATGTATTTTATAGCTTGCATTCAACAGCACAGCAGAGCTTCAGCTTTCCAGTTGAAAAATATTCTTATTTATTTACTTAAGGAAATTTAATCCATTTACAACCATTTATTTTGTGACCATTTGAAGTTACATTGGCACTGGAAAAAGTGATTTATGATAGACTTTCACACTTACAACCATTGCAGTATCTTCACGTCACATGATCAAAATTCAGGCTCTCGGCCACTGACTCACATTTATGACAGCCACAGCATGCCGGGGTCACATGATCCCCTTTTGTGACCGTCTGATAAGCAGGAAGCCAGATTTACTTAATCACTGTGTGACTACCTTCTCCGCTGCATTGATTCCCTTAACAGCCGTGACACAAAAAGTTGTAAAATGGGGCAAAACATACTTAAGAACGGTCTGGCTTAGCAATGGAAATTTGGGGCTTAGTTGCGGTCATAAATCAAGGAGCACCCATATAAAGCCAGAATTGATGGGTTGATTCTGAGCCTTCCAATCAGGGTTAACATACCAGATAACCAGAGTTGGAAGGGACCTTGTAGGTCATCTAGTCCAACCCCTGCCCAAGTGGGAGACCCCGCACCATTTCCGACAGAGGGCAGTCCAGCCTCTTCTTGAAAGTCTCAAGGGATGAAGCCCCCACAACTTCCGAGGGCAACTTCTGTTCCATTGATTGATTGTTCTCACTGTCAGAAAGTTTCTCCTTATTTCCAGGTTGAATCTCTCCTTGTTCAGTTAACATCCATTATTCCTTGTCTGGCCTACAAGTGCTTTAGAAAAATAGCTTGACCCCTTCCTCCCTGTGGCAGCCCCTCCAATATTGGAAGACCGCTATCATGTCTCCCCTGGTCCTTCTCTTCACCAGACTAGCCAAGCCCAGTTCCTGAAACCGTTCATTGTGTGTTTTGGCCTCCAGTCCCCCTAATCAACCTGGTTGCTCTTCTCAGCACTTTTTCTAGAGTCTCAACATCTTTTTTATAGTGTGGTGACCAAAACTGGATGCAGTACTCTAGGTGTGGCCTTACTAAGGCTTTAGTGAGTGGTATTAGTACCTCCCTTGATCTCGATTGTAATCCTCTGTTAATACAATTTAGGATTGCATTAGCTTTTTTGGCTGCTGCTGCACACGGCTGGCTCCTATTTAGCTGGTTGTCCACTAAGACTCCAAGATCCCCCTCCCAGTTCCTGCTGTGGAGCCTGGTTTCACCCAATCTATATGTGTATGGGTTCATCTCCCAGTGACCACATAAACAGAATACAGAATAACAGAGTTGGAAGGGACCTTAGAGGCCATCTAGTTCAACCCCTGCTCAAGGAGGAGACACTCTGGAAAAATTGCTGCCCAATCTATCGCCACTGATCTAGAAAGCTTTGTGTTGTTGGCTGACCTGGAACTTGACTTTTAAAAACAAACTGTAATGGGGTGGGTATTTATTTCCTTAATATCTGTCACTGCCACGTTGTTTTTTTTTTACCAGCTCAGCAAAAATGACACTTTGGTTAATGTTTGCCATAGGCCAAGGCCAATTTTCTTCATATCTGTATATATCTGATAAAAAGCAAACAATTTTCTGTTGATTAACTCATCAACGCATTTCCTTCTCCGTCAGAGACCCTGTTGGGGAAGAGTTAGAATTAAGATAGGTGCCAGATACAGGCAGTCCTCATTTAGTGACTGTTCAAAGTTACAACAGCACTGTAAAAAGGAACTTATGACTGTTTTTCACACTTGGTGACTGTTGCTGCATCCCCATGGTCCCAAAATTCAGGTGCTTGGCAACTGACTCATATTTATGATGGTTGCAGTGTCCTGAAGTCTCGTAATCTCCTTCTATGACTTTCTGACAAGCATAGCCAATGGAGAAGCCGGATTCACTTAATAACCACGTCACTAATTTAACAACTGCAGGGATTCACTTAACAAGAGTGGCAAGAAAGGCCATAAAATAGGACAAAATTCACTTAACCTGCATCTCAGTTAGCAACAGAAATTTTGGGCTCAATCGTGGTCATAAGTCAAGGACTAGCTATAGTTTTGCTACACACAAAGGAAAAATCCTTTCTTTGGAATTCCTCTGTCTCTTAAAAAGCCCCTTAGCAAATTTCACTCGGAACCTCAGATCAACAGAAGACACACAACTCAGTTTGTATACATTAGCACACTGGATCTGCATGAAGTTAAAAAAAAATAATTATTATTTTGGAAAGCTGAACCTGAACAGAAAAGGAAGGAAAGAGAAGCGACTTGGGAGGGTTAACTTCAGGCAGCCTTCTCTGGGTTATTTTTCAGGGTGGATTTTTGCTTTTCCAGAAATTTTCTCTCTGTCCCTGGCAACTAGCAAGCAGAAGCTAAACTGTGTCATGCATATGGGGATTTGCACAACAGACTAAATGTGCAAAAGGAAAAGAAGGTGTTAATACACACACACAAAGGTGAGAAAGAGACTGATTCCATAACACAGAGATGAATCAGTTTGTTGGTGAGATGTTCCTGGTTATCCTAGATTATCTTGTGCAAGCTAAGCGTGAAAAAAGAAAGGAAGCAGCTCACACAAACACATATCCAAAGAGGGAGGGAAGGAGGGAGTCTGATTGCATAATATCGAGATAAACCAATTCACCAGTGAAATATCCCTATCCTAAATTATCCTGTGCAAGCGAAGTGTGCAAAAGGAAAAGCAGTTAATGTATACACAAACACACATACACACATACACAGAGTCTGATTGCATAATATAGAGATAAACCAGTTTTCACCAGCGAAATATCCCTAGTTATCCTAGATTATTGTGTGTAAGCTAAATGTGCAAAAAAGGAAGGGTCTCTCTCTCTCTCTCTCCCTCTCTCTCTCTCCTTCTCTCTCTCTCTCTCCCTCTCTCTCTCCCTCTCTCTCTCTCTCTCTCTCTCTCTCTCTCACACACACACACACACACACACACACACAGAGTCAGAATTCCCTAACATAGAAACAAACCAGTTCACCAGTGAAATCTCCCTGGTTATCTTCGATTATCACGGGTAGATCGCTGCCTCTGCTTTTAGCAACGGCAACGGTACCTAAACCGGACATCATTCATGGGCTGCATCACCCCAAATCCGTAGCGGGTCTTGTTTAGGGCCGGGATCTCCTCCTGCTGATCGATCAGCTCCAGGTCAAAACAAGCCAGCATCAGGAAAGCGAAAAGCTTGATTTCGTTGGTAGCGAAGTAACGGCCAGGACACATGGAGGTCCCAGCCCCCCAAGGCATGGTGAAATACTTCACCTTCTCGCCGTTCTTAAAAAATTCCTTTTTGGAGCCATTTTGGCTGAGGAAACGGTCATATTTGAAGGCCTGGGGCTCTGGGTGGATTTCGGGGTCCATGTGGGCCGAGAGGAAAGGGAAGAGGCCAACTTTGTCGCCTTTGCGCAGCAAGTAGGACTTCCCATTGTGGAGTTTGAGCTCCATATCTTCTAGAACCAGCCGAACCAACAAAGGGGCTGTCGCCAACCTCAAGGTCTCTTCCACGGCGCTGTCCAGGATGGGCGTTTGGCTCAGCATCTCTCTGGTGATGTTCACGGGCTTCTGGCGGGAGATCACCTCTTGGCCCGACTTCTTCAACACCTCCTCAATCTCCTTCCTGACCTCTTCCATGGCTTTGGGGTGCTTCATCAAGTACTCCAGGAGCCAGAAGGAAGCTGGACCGGTGTTACCTTGAGCGGCCCAAAGGAGAAGGAACATGAAGCGGTCCCTCATCTCTTCGGACAGCCCACTTTCGGCCAGCTGTTGAGACTGGTCGCTGATCCACCGGCTGATGTTGTCCTTCTTGTAGACGTTCATCACTGAAAGCACGTCCCAGAAGTAGTGCCAGATTTTCTTCACTTGGCCCCATTCCGACGGGGTCAACAGGGCATACGAGAGGCGCGGGAAGAGCTTGTCATATTTGCGAAATTCGACGAATACCTCTTCGGTGTGCTGCTTGTCCTTTTGTTCTGATTTTTCTTTCTGTTTCCCACTTGGTTCGGTGCCGTACAAAGCCAGGAACCCAGCTCGGAAGACCGTGTTGTAGCAAAAGTGGAACAAACCATCTTCTTTCCAGGATTTCGGATCTTCTTTGGAGGTTTCCTGCCACCGGAGTAAGACGGCCTGCAAGGCATCCATCATGGCTTGGGTCATCACTTCCAGGCCTTCTCCCTTCAGGTGCTTCGTGCTGGAGGCTTCAATGATCTTGTGTGTCGTGTGGGTGGCCTCGAATCGAAACACCCTGAGGACGAGCTCGGCTGCAAACGAAATGAAATCCAGTTTGCTTCGGGCTTCCTTGACGATGCCACCGAAGGACAGCGGGTCTGTCAAGAAAGTAAAATACTGTCCTGCGATCAAGGCCGTGAAAATGTCCCCGTGCTTCTTCTGCATGGTTTGCAGGAAATCCATGTTGTCGTTTCGGAAGTGCAATGCGTGTCCTAGCCATGGAATGAGTCCTTTGTCCAAAGGAGGTTCATTGGGTCGTCTTCGGCGGAAAAAGCCCGTTAGGTAGAGGATCCCCAAAAGACCGGCCCCCAAGGCAACTGCGACTGTCACCCAGAAGGACATCTTGAAGAGTGTGTGCAGTTCAACGCAAGCAGCCTTTTTAATCATCCCAGGTTCTTCGGAGAAAAGTGGGTGTATTTTTTTGATACAGGGAGGAGTTTCGGTTGAGCAAACAAGCCAAGAATTGCAATTAACCCTTACAATAGGGGAGGGAAGGGAGGAAAACAACTTTAGTGCCTGAACCGTCTTTCTACCAGAAACTTTCAAAGGCTTCATTAACCAACAGGTAGGAGCTGGGAAAGAAACACGCCAGCGCTTATTTGACCTTTGAGCGTGCGTTTTCTTGACCCAATGCAAGTTGTGCAAAACAGGAATACTGAGAACAAGGTCTAATCTCCCGAGAGAGGGAGAGGAGAGGAGCAAACTTTTGAATATTTGGAGATCCATGAAGGATGAAGGTTGTGCTGGGGAGGGCAGGGGAGACAGAATGTGAGACGGCTAATCTCGGGATTATTGGGAGGGAGACGGAAAAAAGAAGAAGAGGAGGAGGAGGAGGAGGAGAAAAAGAAGGAGGAGGAAGAGACGAAGAAGAAGAAGAGGAGGAGGAGGAGTAAGTACGATCTTCCATGCAAGAGTTAATTTTACACTGATTGTGACCTTACGGCTGGATGCTTACAATCTGGGTGAACAATTATTGCACGGTCAGAAGCTACCCGCTGCACGAAAAAATTAAATTATCTTAACACAGTTGGCCTTTTAAAACACTTTCAGTCAAAGGGATTAAACGTGGAGCTCCCCCAAAAGGGTTTGAGGAAGAGACCCCAAAGTGGGTGGAGTTTTCAATTTGGGGAAGTCAGGGTGATTTCAAGGACAACTTTAAAAAGCTTCAACCTCCTCAGAGTTGATCCTGATCTCTATATTTCTGGGGTGCGCCCCAGCAGATGTAAGAGGTACCCACCCCCAGAACCCAAGGTGGGCCTTTTAAACCATGTCCCAGAACCTCACCTTAACTTCAGTATGTTTGGAGGTGCGTATTGGTAGTCCTTGACTTACAACAGTTCGTTGAGTGACCATGCAAACAGTGGTGGGATTCAAACATTTTTACTATCAGTTCTGTGGGCGTGGCTTGGTGGGTGTGGCGGTCACACCCACCAAGCCACGAAGGAGGTTTCTAACACTTAGCCAGTTTAAGAGGAATGGATTAACTTTAAGGCCCGTGGACCTCAACTTCCAGAATTCTCATGGCTGGTTGGGGAAGTCCACAGTGGCCAAGGTTAAGATTCACTCATCCAGAAGGTTAGTCTAATTGGCATCTCCTCAGCGTTGTTTTGCATCATTTCAGGGTCTGCCCTGAAACAGATTAATTTCATATTTCTTATTCTTCAGGGGTGAGTTGATTTACAGATGGTCCTTGACTTGTGACCACAACATGGGACCAGAATTTCCATTGCTAAACAAGACAGTTGATAAAGCGACTCACACCCAATGTTTTGATGTTTTTCTCCCCAGGGTTGTTAAGTGAATCTCTGCTGTTTGTTAAGTGAATAATGCGGTCATTAAGTGAAATAAAATTTCCCCCATTGAGTTGGCTTGAGAGAAGCAGGCTTGGAAGGTTGCAAATGGCGATTACCCAGGGACGCTGCGGCCATCATAAATACAAACCAGCTGCCAAGTAAATCCCTTTTGAAAGCACTGTTGCAACTTTGAACCGTCAGTAAATGAAAGGTTGTAAGTAGAGGACTGCCTGAATGTGCTAGGTCTCCCAAAGGGTGCCCCAATGCATTTATGGAAGGGATTTTCCAGGCAGGGCTGCCATTTGCTAGTCATGTAGAAAGGACAGAAACGGATCCCTGGGAAATTGAGAACGATGGTCGAGACAATCTGTAAGGAGCCCCATCTTCACATTTCATTCACTGGGGTAATCAATCACTGGTTTGGTTGTACCAGGGTACCCATGATCCACATCCCTCTACTGGACATAAGAACTGGACCTGAAAAGGCAGGACAAGAAGCAACGGGTGGAAACTAATCAAGAAGAGAAGCAACCGAGAACTAAGGAGAAAGTTCTTGACAGTGAGAACAATTGATCAGTGGAACGGCTTGACTCCAGAAGTCGTGAATGCTCCAACACTGGACGCTTTCAAGAAGAGATCGGACAACGACTTGTCTGAAATGGCGTAGTATCTGCTTCAGTAAAGGGTTGGGCTAGATGACCTCCAAGGTCCCTTCCAACTCTATTATTCTGCATTCTGTATTCTTCTTCCACACTAACCAAGAGTTAAGAGCTCCCTCTGCTGGCGTTAACATTTGGCTCCAGGCTTTTTTCAAAACTAGAAACATATCTGATATACAGGTAGTCCTTGACTTACGATCACAATTTTGTGCCCATAATTTCAGTGAATTTTGCCCCGTTTTACAACCTTTCTTGCAGCAGTACTGGAGGGATTGGAGCATAAACAGAGTGCATATACAGTGTGTGTGTCTGGCCCAATCTTTGATTTCCTTGCTGAGCTGGCAGACGCAGGGATAAAAACTTCTAGGTGAACTGCCAACCTTAGCAAAGTAACTACTTGAGAAATGCAAAATGCATCTATCTGCTTGAAACTAACTTAAAATGTGTTCTTCCCAGTAACTTAAAATGTGAGAAACGAAGCTTTGAGCTCAAATATGTTTCTTTCCAATCCATCTAAGTAAGATTCCTTTGTTTGTACAAGCGCTGAGAAAATTTCATAAGCTTTGCTTGATATGAAATAGCAATGACGGTCTTTGCTGGCTGTGTAATCTGTAAAAGTTCAAGAAAAAGTTTTTGTGCATGCCTGCATTTCTTTCTCTCTGCCTTGCTGTTGAAGGAGGGAGACAGAAAGGTCGCCCAGTTTTTGTTTTCTAATCAGAAAATAAAGCTGATTATCAGTAGCCTCGTGGTCAGAGTTTCATTGGATTTATTAGATATTCTGAGCTGCACTCGAAAAACCTTACAGTACTTAAGTGAATCACTGCCGTTTTTAAGTCAGTCACACTGTCATTAAGTGAATCTGGGCTCCCCCCATTGACTTTGTTTGTCAGAAGATTGCAAAAGGGGATCATGTGACCCCCGAGACAAGCAACTGTCATAAGTACATGCCAGTTGCCAAGCATCTGAATGTTGTCCTTGAGGAAGCTGCAACGGTTGTAAGTGTGAGAAACAGTCCTAAGTCCCTTTTTCCAGTGACATTGTAACACTGAAACAGTCACTAAGTGAACTGTTCTAAGTCAAGAGCTACTTGCACTGCACACAGTACGATGGAAACGGAGTACAGACGGTCCCACAAATGAGACGAGAATTTCCAGTGCTAAGCAAGGCGGTTCTTAAGTGAATCTGACCGATTTTTTGTGCCACAGTTGTTAAGTGGATCGTTGCAGTTGTTGAATGAATCATGCGTCCGGGTTCCAAGAAACAGACCCACAGCAAGCCAAACCCAGAGGCAGGCAGATTCCTCAAAGAATAGTTTTATTTGGATGAGCCGTTTTGGCACAGATCTGGTGAAAACCGACTCTGAAGACTCCCGCGGTTTTCACCTAATTAAAAGTGAAAGTTTTCCCCCCAATCCCAAATGATCAGTCCCCCGGCCCAATCAAGGCAGTGCCCGCTGGTCAGGTGACCTTGCTCCTCTGGCCAGGTGTGGGAACACCCTCGGTTCCCAAGAGGAAGTGTTTGGTTTCGATTACACCACCCCAGCTCTCCTCCCCGCCCCCGTGAGGTTTGCCCTATTTTCTTGCCACCATTTTTAAATGGATCGCTGCAGCTGTTAAGTTCATTAAGACGGCCGTTAAGTGAATCTGCCTTACCCCTGGGACTTTGCTTGTCAGAAGGCTGCAAAAGGGGCAGGGCTGGGCTTCCAAACATTTAGCAAAGAGTTCTCCGCCTGGTTGCTGGGTGGGCGTGGCTATCGTGGGCGTGGCCTAGTTAGCCTCCTGCACCATGGCAGGGAAGGGGGGGGCGTTTCCTCCCTCCCCGGGCTCCGGAGGCCTTCTTGAAGCCGGAAATGGTCCTGTTTCTGGCCTTCTGGAGCCTCCGGGTAGCCCATTTTTCGCCGTCCCCAAGCCCTCCGTGCCTCCGTACGCCCTGCACTTACCTGGCATCCAAAACAGGCCGTGTGGGGACTCCTGCGAGGGGAGGGGAAGGGTAGATAGGGCCAGCCAGGGGTGGGATTTGCCGGCTCACCAAACCGCCCATAAAATTAGCTACAGGTTCACCCAAACTGGGACGAGCTGGTGGCAGCCCACCTCTGAAAAGCGGGGTCACATGACCTCAGGACACAGCAGCAGTCATAAGTACGAGTCAGTTGCCAAGCACTTGAATTTGGATCACAGGAACCATGGGGAATGCTGCAAAGGTCATAACTGTGAAAAAATGGTCAAATGTCACGGATTGCCATTGTAACTTTGAATGGTCACTAAGCGAACGTAAGTTGGGGACCGTTGCAGCATCCCCATGGTTATGTGATCCAAATTCAGACGCTTCTTAGCTGACTCGTATTTATGACGGTTGCAGTGTCCCGGGATCATGTGTTCGACCTTTGGCAACCTTCTGACAAGCAAACTCAATGGGGAAGCCAGATTCGCTTAACAACTGTGTGGCTGACTTAACAACTGCAGCAATTCACTTAACACCAGTGGCAAAGAAGGTCGTAAAGTGGGGCAAAACTCACTTATCAAATGTCTCACTTAACAATGGAAATTTGGGGCTCAATTGTGGTTGTAAGTCAAAGACTACCTGCATGCTTTCATGGAAAAAAACAACAACCCAGGCTGCTGACCTGCCTTGCAGTACTTGCACTGTCCGCTAGATGGCAGTAAAGACACATATGAAAATGGTCCATTATGCTGCCTTTATGCCTCCTAGTGGCCTTTCAATCTTATTCGTTGCTTTTGTGATTCTGTGATTCCCCTCCCCACACTTGTTTGTGCTGCCCTGGGTGCATGTGTGAACATACTGACCTGTATATTTTTATCCTGTTTTTTCCTATCCTGTTCTGTTGTTTCCAGGCACCGCCGCATCAACTAATCCTGACTTTTTAGTCTCTCTTATCGACACCTGTTA